GGCAGAATGCAATGTTCCTGCAAAGAGGGAGGGGAGAACAAGAGTGGACACATGACTGAGAACCTGGATGGAAATACACTGAATCAAATTAAGGGAGAAGTGAGGCGGGATGTCTGTCCATCGTCGGTGTCTGTGCTGGCTCTGAAGTGGAGAAAATGTCTTGTCAGGGAACAAAGTAAGTAAAGAGCGAAGGATGGAGGAGGTCTTCTTACGGCCCACCACTGTAGGAGTAATCTGCCTTGTTGTGCATCACCAGCTTGTTGTCCACAAAGTAGAAGCTGTCAGACTGTGTCTCGTAAGGGTGCAGGATCATCTCTCGCACTGGAGGAGAGGAAATTCAACAAGTTCTGAGACAAATGTGATCATTTTAACAAGTGCCATGATTGATCAACATTAGAATTCCCCTGCTCGTTCCACGTTCAACTTGCAAGTGATCTCATGATTCCCAATGACTTGCTTTGCAGCAAAAAAACATTATTTCATAATACCTATTTCATAATCTCACGCGTACCACTAGACAACGCTTGTTTTTACCACAGTTTGAGAACCACTGGCTTAGACTATTTAGGTAGCACCACTGGAAATTGCAGTCATTAAAGTAAGGGTGTAATAGGTATAATTATAATTATTAAGTGTAATTACTAAATAATAGTATGATCCTTCACAGAAATCTATTAAAATATTGGCATCTTGACAAATAAAACCTCTGGTAATGAATTGCCTTGAGACATTCTGGTGTCATTCACCAGATCGACTCTGATTGTCCATCTTAAACACATTTTTACATAATAATATATTTAAAAAAAAAAAAATACAGGAATGAAAAAACGCTTTTCGTCCAGAACCACTAAGCTCTAAAAAACCTCATTTGTAAGACCTGCACATAGTAATATGTAAAGAAATGTGGACCAGAAAATATATGTGATGTTGTATTTGTATTTTTTTAGTCCTTGTTTTATTTACGTTTGTAAAACCCAATACACAAATTTGATTAAAAAAACAACCTGTTGTGACAGGCACAAACCAGCGACGCGTGTAAATAGCGCCATCTGCTGGCTCAAAAAAACAAAATAGCGGCATTTTCTCTGTGGATCTTAAAAGTTTCACTCACTGATATCCTCTGACAGCGCGGGGAACTCGTAGATGTGCTCGCAGGTGTTCTTGCTGCTGGGCATACAGAAGCCGAACTCGAAATCAAAGCTCTTGAGCAGCTGATCGCGGAAGTAGTGTCTCTCAATCATACGGAAGTTGTTGATGGGAGTGTCGCCCACTGTGAACTCCACCCTGCAGGGACACAGGTAGGAAGTTCATTCAGTTCAAATTAGTAGTTTATAGCAGGACTCGGTGCCAGTTCGTAGGTAATTTGGTACCGGGCCGGAGTGGGACACAATGAAAGAAATGTACTTCAGTTTTACTAATTTACTTCATTCCAAAAGTCATATCCCTTTTTCATTAAAAGATAATCTGGCAATATTTCAAAATAAAAGGTCATTCAGACTCTGATACTAACAGAATAAAGTCTAAAATATGTTTTATTTTGAAATGTTAATGATCCTTTAACAATGGCGCGGTATTACCGGTCCACGGTAACGGCTGATACCGCCACACCTTACGTGTGTCCAAGATGTGATATAGTAAAAATAAAGCAAAAAAATTAGTATAATTATAATAGTCTGGAGTAAAAACAAATGTGAACACAAGTTTAATTAGTGGCCCATCATTGCAACAAATCACATTTAATGCTGCTGTATATACAGAGTGTTCCACAGCGCTACGTAGTGGACATGAGGACAAAGTCGTTACAAATAAAAATTAAATTAAATAGTCCTGCAATATTCTTTGACAAAACCCTGTATTTTTATTATTTTAATTATTATTTAATTATTAACTATTTTTTAATTATTATTTTTTATATTTAAAAGCTTTAACAGTGGCCAAAGTATGTTGAATTAATGTTAATCTTTATAAAACAAATTTTAAAACTGCTAACAGTAATCATTGTAAGGATTTACAAAAACAAGTTTTAATTTTCTTTTTACCTGACGGCTATAATCAAAAACTTATAGTATTTATTTACTATTAGGACGGTCAAAAAAATGTTTAATTTGGTTGTTTGGTGGATAAATCCCAAATAACGATGAAACATTTTTGATTGTAATTAATACCAACTAATCATGATTAATCAAGATATGTTGACACTGCAAACAAAATAGCTGAAAATTCCTGTATTTCTCTGTTACAGCAACACAGCACAAAGATGTATGATTTTCACACCTGTTTTTATTTGTGACTTATCCTAATGATGGAATTGTTATTCTGGAAAGATACCGAGGTTAATGTGATTAACATCTCAATTTTAAAAGACATAATAATAATAATATTTGAGTTCGAATTGACAGTGAAGTCACATTAGCACAGATCAGATAGTCGAGGGCTGAGCGGGTGGACGGTTCTGTTTATCCAAGTTCACACTCGCTAAAAACAGCCTCTCTCCACACGATAGAACTCCCATACACACACACACACACCTCCTACATGCAGTTCTTGTTTTCTGTTAATGCAACAGGAATTAACCTACAGTGTTGCATCAGTGTGTTCGTCTTTTGTCAGTATACAGAAACATGCAGCATTCATGCTGAACTTACGTGGCTCCAACCTGCCGTAACTGCAGGAAGGCTGGAGTGAACTGGTATCGAACGAAGCGGCCGGCGTTGGGATCACACTGCTTTTTACTTCCAGCTAAAACAGAAAGGTGATAATAGAAAGATCGAGGCGGAACAGAAATGATTACTTTGCGCTGCAGGTATTTTTGATTTAATTCTAAAGGACAGGAACCAAATGGAGGGAAAAATCCATTTAAACCTTATCTATTAATATAATCTCTACACGCTGTGCTCATTTAGAAAAAAACAAGGTCCCTATCTAAAGTCGAAAGTGATGTAGCTGACCTGGTGTTGGGGGCTTTGTGATCTCAAATAGTACCGTCCCTGTTTCCATGTCACGGATTTTGAACCTGGTGAAGTCGATCATGTGGACGTTTTCCTCTGGAGAACAGAGATAATCTGGGAGAGAATAAGAAGGAATAGAGAGGTTAGAATGTCACTCTGACAATTACGAAAAAAAAGAAGAAAAAAGAAATATTCAGACACACAGAAACTGCCTAGAGTGACATATCGGTCAAATACTGCAAACTTTAAATAAGGAATGAGGAATAAATGTAACTTTTACTGCTTCATTCCTGCAGTTAATTATTAGAGTTATATTAAAATGCATATTATAGAATTTTAAGATTTTGTTTTTAATGCTTAGATTATCTATTGTCTTTCATTCTAAAATGGTATCACCTCCAAACACAAAAGTGCATGTTTGCACAAAACTAACAAAAAACAATGATTAAAACTTTAAAAATAGCCATAACATTGTACAGAAAAAACACCTTCCTAACTTAAATAAATACACAGTTGCTGGAATGAAACTTAAAAAATTAAGTGAAATTTGTTTCATGGTTAAATGGACAATGAGCTGCATCAATAACAGTGGTCTCATTCATTTACTGCACACTGTAACAGTGTATACAAATGTTTCTTCATACTGAGCATGATAATGAGCAGTCATACACATGCAAATGTAGCCGTGTGTGTGTGTGTGTTGGTGTGTGTGTTTCTCCCAAAGTGCCTGGATTAGAAATAAGAGGCTTATTCTCTTTTACCCTCACATGGACCAACTGGTTATACACCATACACATGCACGCATGTTGCATAAGCATGTAGAGGTATTTTTTTGCTTAGGCCTGGAATTTAACACAGTTAAAGAAAAGAAAAGAAAGACACAATCACACAGAGAGTCACAGACCGACTGTACGCACGGAACCCTGTGTGTCTGTGCTCAGGGATATGGCCACGCACACACCTGCACCGTGGCATCTTCTACTATTTCCAATGGTTGGGGGCAGATGGACAACACAGGCTTAAGCCACCTGCTCCGAGGTATTTATAGAAGCTAACATGGAGTTCAGTACAGCCGACTGGACGCCTTGGACAAAAATGTCACTTGTTAAAAGAGGACATATTTATATTATATATATATATATATATATATTTTTTTTTTTTTTTAACTGAAGTCATGTTGATGACAACATTTTTTCACCGAAACAGTCGATACAAAAACAAACTTTGTTGGCTAAATATTGTAAAATGTATTTGTCGTTTGACAATCAACATTATAAAAAAAATATTTATGACTTGATATATGAGAACACAGTCAATTTCCCTGGATGTTATCTGTCAAGTAATTTATTTAAATCTTATTTAACCAGGCAGGTCAACCTGGACATTTGCAGATACAAAACAGGAAGTACTGTAGCAAAGAGTCGACACTGACCGAAATAGATGGTGGTTTATATGTGGATGGAATACAAACTTCATGAGGTCTATACAAGTGGGCCTAATTTAAACCATAGCTGATCATTTGCTGTACCTTGGTCCGGTCTACAGACCGACTGCCTTTGGTTCAAATGACTAGGATGCTGAATGTGATTCACTGAAGGCTGTTCATTCATTACCTGACCTTTGAAATAGTTTGTGTTTGAAAAAGCTGTTCTGGTTGAGAAACACACTTACTGTTGAATGGGGAATGTGGGTTAGAAGAGATGGTGGAAACAATACACAGCAATGTGTAACCCTAGTTAGAAGAAGGTATTGTTTAACATTTGAATAAACTGTATATTAAAATGTTCCTATTACTACAGAAAACCAAAAAGAAAGTTCAATTTAAAGGCAAATTACTCTGTCACTGCCTTTGCCCTCTACATGGGCAGATGAGGCTCGATGCATTTAATGGATCAAAAATGGCCTCATGCCAGGACCGGTTATAAAACACAAATGGAGTTGTTTCCACATGCTCCAGTGTAGAGAACAGCCATGTTATCAGTATGATGCTGCTACATGTTTGAAACTCACTACAACATGTAAATAATTTATATATATTTACAACTAGGACTCCATTATTATAGCAGTACTATATTATAGTACAGCTGCTCATCACTTGTTTTTGAAAATTTGTAATTGTTTTAATTTTTAATTTTTGACATGATAATTAACAACAAAATTACTCAAGATACTCAAGTTCTTGCTTTTTCCGATAATCTGATGATAAATTAATACAATTTATGAGCATTAGAGATAAATTAGCTCTGGCTAGGTTAGGATTTTTTCTTTTTTCAGACTGGTTGCTACAGTACACACACAAACACACACACACACACATGCTTTTGTGTTTCATGAGCAGTTCACATAAACATGATGCTTTCTGTAGCCTCTTTCTTTTCCCTCAAATTTTGCTCAATATATGCCTAATTTCAATCCTTACCTCTGTTGTAAATCTAATCTGACCAGCTCTATCATAAACCTGAAAATACCCTGTCACTAATTAAGGACCTTCAAATTGGTCCCCAAAACAGTAGTACTCCCCAAAAAATGTCCTCTGAAGTATAGTTGTACCAGGAACACACATGTATCATCTCACAACACCTCCTACGACGCCGTCACCTAGCAACCCTCCCAGTGATTGCGCAGCAGCTTGATTAGTTCATCACTTTCCTCCCCATCATCCACCTGGCTGCTCTGTAACAACAAGGTGCAACAGCGTTACTTCGAAGGAGTTTTTCTTCCACTTACCACTAGTTGTATGAAATGAAACGTTCTGATTTTTTCTTCTTCTAGAGAGGACAGAGACATCTCTCCCAAATATGTTCCAACAGACTCCATGTTTTGTCCGCTTCATGGACTGATTAGGTTTTCCTCAGACTCTGATTTTTAACGAATACGTTATGGTTGGCTCCCTTGGCACTATGCTAGCAAGCTAACTGACGAGCTAACGTGAGTTGTTTCTAAGATTGTAGCCAAAATATATTTTTTCTTTTTTCTGTTCTTTTCCTAGTGACTTATCTTTCATCTTTCGTCTTGTTTTCAGAACACCAACGGTCAACCTAAGGTGATGCGTCCATTAATGGACTAGTGTTGATAGTTATTATTACTAAAAACTACTTTTTTTGTGGCAGTGAATGTGATCGCAAAATTATGTACGGCAAAGAAGCAAGGGGGAAAAAGTTTTGTCAAGCCGTTGTTAAAGACTTTCCTCAGTAATATGAAACTCTGCGGTAAAATATTGAACAATATTTGCACATTAAACCACATTTCACCTTATCCATAGAATCATGGATATGTCTTCAAGTTAATGATGTTAATTGTAGAAGATTTAGATACTTGTGTTTAAGTGATGTGTTTTTTTATAAGACGGTAGTGAGACCTGCTATGATGCCTGGTTTGTCTAATTGAAAGGAGTCTGAGCTGGAGGAGGAGGCGATGAAGATGCTGAGGTCTACACTGTCAGTGACCAGTTTGGACTGGATTGAAGTGAGCAGATCGGAGGGACAGTTAAGGCGGAGTAGTTTGGAGATGAAGTTTGGACATGAGCTGAGGAGAGATAGAAGATATAACGGGCAAGAGTTGTTGGAGAGGGTGTTGCCAGGCAGAATGTGAAGAGGAGGACCTCAGAGAAAATAGGTGGATGTTGTGAATGTGTAAAAGAAGAGGAGGCAGGTGATTCGCTGACCCCTGGAGGAACAGCTGAAAAGAATGCATTTAAATATTATCTTGGCATGGCATGGAACCCCACCCCTCCCCGTACAAATATCCTGTAGCATTGAGCACTGAGTTTATATTTAATGTGTATTTTCTGTAATAATGAAAACAGGAACTTTGCTTCTTTTCACTTCACGTCCCAAGAAGATCCACTCGACAGCAACCCTCGAGTGTAAAATTAGCACCGACTCTGTGCCCTGCTGTGTCCCCGCGTGCGCGGTCCAATCGCGTTGCCTGCGACACTTAAATGGTGTTCATGAACAGAGAGCGTGTTGCCACTTATAGTGCCTTAATCCCTAAGATTAGCCTGGAGTAAAAGACTTTCAGCCGCAGGAGATTGACTTGACTCTCCTCCTTCTTTCCGTCTGACATTGCGCTCCATGATCACTGCTGGGTGACTGGGTGTTGAAACCAATACCGGCAGAGAAGGGCACACAATGCAGATATGTTTACGTCACATCGAAGTGATTCATAGCCAATGGCAGCTGGTGACATGCGTATTAAAAACATGATATACTGCACACCTGTGTACTGCAGGCCGCTTCATGTCTCTCACTTCAAAGCACCTGTAGGCAAACTGGCAAACGGTGAGGTTCACGGAGGGGTTGGATTTCTGAGCAGCTGAATGCAAATGAGATTCTTAACTCCTACCATCCTTTGGTCTGCATCACAGAGAGGAGGAGGAAAATATCCTCTCTGGCTTCATGAGGAGAAACACAATATTTTGACCTGCGTCAAACTCTCAACTATTGGGTTAAAAAACAACATAAAATGATGCTGCTGCTTCCATCAACCTGACTCGTGAGCGAATTTGGTGGATTCGATGGTTAACTAAACCAAAGAGCAGCGTGATCCATCAAATTATAATGAACTAAACCTTCAGATACATTTCAGTAATTAGGAAGGTCTTAGAAGACAGTATTTTGAACATCACTGCAGTGTGATCACAGCTAATCTCCTCTGATTAAAAAAGAACTGACAGAAACAGTTTTTTTTTAAAATGTGACTGATCCCCAGGTGGCCACAAGGTGGAGAATGTTGGTTAGAACGCTTGCCTCTTTAGCAAGAAGGCGCACAAGTTTCCATTCCGGGTTGATGTTTCTGTATGGAGTTTACATGTTTACATGTTGATCAGGGAGCAGGCTGATCAGACACTATCAATAGATCAAGGAGCAGGCTGATCAGACACTATCAATAGACCATAGGTGTGAATGGGAGTGCGAATGGTTGTTTGTCTCTATACGTGGCCCTGCGATGGACTGGCGAGCTGGGATTGGCTCCAGTGTCCCCCCGGTAGATAACAGATGGATGATCACCAGGTCTAATGTTTGCTAGAGAGAAACATGTTTGTTTTTTTCTCACTTGTCACCATGTGACCTTGTGGTTACAGATTCAGGCTCGAGATCAGAAGATCACAGGTT